CGTAATCTCCGTCTCTTCTCTGATTAGTGTTCTTGTTTATGTCATACCCTGCCATGTCGGAACTCTGCTGAAAATTACAAATGAAAAAATTTTCGGAAAAATCATTCTCTCATCACCTCTTCAATGGCAACATCGTCAACGTCCTCCGCGTTAAAACCACCCGTGTCATCGTAAGATGAATCATTGCTATTAATAGGCTATTAGACAAAATTTCAAAATAAAAATTCAGGCCGTTCAATAAAAACGTAAATACGGTTGAACTCACCGAGTTATGATTGTGGTCGAGCACCACCTTCCTCACCTGTAATGACTTCTTTCCCAAAGCACGCAGGACTATTTTGAATGGACAATTTGTCTTCTTTGTAAAACAACTGAAGATGGAAAATACTTATTACTTAGAATATTTTTACAGGTGTAGGTATTAAAGGTCTGCGTCGGAATTCAGTTTACTTCACTGTGAAGTTTTCTTCAAATGTGTAAACTACTCATACTCAAACAAAAAGGGTATGGAAGGAAGAGAAATGAAGATATTGAGCGCTGGAGCGCCCACATTGTTTCCCCATCGTTTGTTGTTTAACATAAGAGTCAGCTCTAACATTAACATTATGTAGCATTACATATTACAGTTTATATATTTGAAGAAAAAATTTACAGTGAAGCAAACTGAATTCCTTTAGTATATATCAATGGTCGTCTGCAATAACGACACAATTCAAAATTCAAAAAAATTTAAATTTTTACTACCGTTAAGTGGCGCATGCCTCTAATCCTTGCCTAGTTCATGTATATCCCTTACTACTCAATTTAGTAAGGATTAGACATGGTTTAGATGAGGACTAGAGACATAGGTCACTTAACATTAGTAAACGTCCGTAAACCTAGCTGACCCAAGTCGCCAAAAATCAATAAAAATTATCTAGGAATTAGGTGTCTTTTAGGTGTTAATTAGGGCCTCCAAATCTAATTTAGGCGCTCCACTGGTTTCCGGGAAATTCGCAAAGATGTGTTGGTCAGCTGGTTTACGTAAACCTAGCTGACCCATCTTTAAATTTTTGTTTTAAACTAATTTTTGGTTCGCGTAAACCTAGCTGACTAGCACATTTTTGCGAATTTTTCGGAAACCAGTCGAGCACCTAAATGAATTTTGGAGGCCCTAATTAAAACCTAAAAGACACCTAATTCCTAGATAATTTTTATTGATTTTTGGCGACTTGGGTCAGCTAGGTTTACGGACGACATTAGTAAGGGTTTTTATTTTTTGAATTGTGTCGTGATTTGAGATGTTCCCCAATACATATATTGCCACAATACATAGGTATTGCACTTGTGATTTTTAAGTTTTATACTCAAGTTTTAAAAATTTAATTTACACGAGATTTAAAATTAGTTTTCACATACCTTCCAGGACGAACAGGCGGATTAGTCCTGGCTTTCGATACATATTTCCCACTCCGGTAGCACTGCATTTCTATTTCATAACTATGCAAGTATTCTTCCAAATCTTTAACACGCGACTTTGTAATTGATTTAGTTCGGCCTTTCGATAAACGAACTGAACGAACTCGTTCGTACTCCACGATGAATTCGTTCAACTTTTCAAGCGAAGGAAATGTTTGCCCTACGTAAAATGTGCACATTTTTTTTAACAAAAGACAGAATAACAAAGTGATTATTTGATTAAGCGGAAGGACTAATCGGTGGAGCTTCTGAAATGTGAAAAGGGCGCCAACTCTAATTCCCAGAAAAATTATGGCATCGGATTCTGATTACGATGCATTCGGATGCGTTCGGTATATTCTCGTTCGGCTTCAACTCTGTCTTTAAGCAGCGTTTGCATTGTTCAACTTTGCGTTGAAACCAACGCAGGGTTGCACGAAAAAAAGTTGAATGGCTAACTGTTGGCTGGCGACCAACTTTGTTGAAAGCGATTAGTTGAAGACTGTTCAAACAAAAGCTGAACGCAAAGTTGAACAATACAAACGCATTTTTATGGCGAATACAGTGACGAAGACAATTGTCTTTATGCGAGTGTATTAGTGAAAAAGTGTGAATGTTTGCTATTGTCTTGGCAAAATTGTCTCATGTAAACGCCGGGTATAACGATCAAAGCTAGAGTTGTTCTGGTGGCAGAAGTATTCCAGTGTGAAACCGATCATTGAGAAATAAAGAGACAACCATCTGGTGTGACAAAATGCATAACAGGTGGTCTCAGCTGTAAAAGTTATATACATTACATATAACGGCCATTACTGTAACTGCCAGCTAGGATCAATAAAAAATTGGCGTCACTTCGTTGTGTTTCTCTCGACAATACATAGCAGAAATTAAATATAGTAATGAGCACCATAAAAGCACAAAAAATGCTGCTAATTTATGTATAACCACAGCTCCAATATAAATAAAAATCTAAAGAAGATTACAGCACTTTTCTTCGACTTGGACAACATACTAATTCCCACGCGCTCGGGTGATTTGATGCAGTCAAACAGCTAAGTGAAGTGCTCGAAAATCAGTTTTAGGTTACAAAAGAGGAGTCCAGCATTGCAGCTCTGTCATTTCTGAAAGCATTTCGTCGCTGCCCAGACAACTCGCAGACATCTCTTGATTCCTGGCGTTCTTATTTATGGCGTGAAACTCTTCCACCTCGTTACAAACATTTAGCTGAGCAAGTGCCACTTTTTGGATACCTTTGAATCCAGGGGAGATTGACTTGAACGATGTTCCACATGAACCAGATTTTACTCTTAAGCAATTGCTGCATTTATATAAATATTTCCCTTCACTAAACAATAGAAATATACGTAATAACACAAATAGTACTGCGACCAACACCAGCGCACAAAGCAATGCCGAAAAAAAATGTTCCTGTTCAAACAATTAATAAGATCAAAAACCCAACTGTCGGCATGATATTTGACAGCCACCAAGGTGTTGTGGAATACATGGAAGCGTGGATGCATAGTTCAAGAACTTTACTGACCCGGGGAAGGTCTCAAAAACTAAGTGGTCACGAAAAAAATTTTGAACTGGTGCAATTCAGAACTGTGGAGTTCACGTGTAAACATGGACCCCCACCCCATAGATTGGAAACTAAAACAGCGAAGGAAAGAAAAAGCAGGTAAATTGTTATACTTGACAGAGTATTGGCCATTAGTTTTGAAAATATGACCTTTTGATAATTAAATTAAAACTTTTTTTAGTTCATATAAAGTGAATTGCCCAGCGAAAGTAAAATTTCAATGCCTGAATGATCAAGGATATATAAAGATAACAGAAGTGAATTTGGAGCATCAAGGACATGTACCCTCCCAGGTGAAGTTTTGGATTTATTTATTCAAATCACTATTTTCACCCTCGCACACTGCGGAAAAATTACGTACGTTCATGATACAAATATAGTAGGGTAGAACCGTTCTCTCAAACGAAGTTTTAAAGCGACGTATGTGATTTTTTCTCAGTGTGCATCGTATCGGAGACGAATCCATAGGGCTGTTTAGGATCATGTGCATATGATCTTGCATTTGCAGCAACAAAATGCAAAAGGTTGCCATGGTAGCAAACACAAAATTTGCAAATGTAAATCCAAGACCGTTTGCACAATATCCTGAAAATCTGGGAGCACTCCATATTCCCGACTTTAAAAATCCCGACAAGACATAATCCAGACAATTTTTAAAAATCCAGACAAGACATAATACAGACATAACAAAGTCCCGACCAATTAAAATACAGATAACACATTATTCAGACAAGAAAAAATAAAAGGGACGGAGGATTTATATAATTAAAGAATTTATTAATTCAATCTAAATACATACAGATGCGTAGTAAGGGTTATAATCCCTACGCGCGGCCGAAGGCCGCCCACGTAGAAAGGTGTTCTCTGCAAAAGGTGTTCAGCGTTGTCAGTTATTATATACATATAAGTATAAGTACACATTTAAATAAATTGAATGTATGAATATGGGTCATTCCAGTGAAGACGATACAAAAATAAAACACATAGATTGTGTTTAAATCTGCGAAAAAGCAGAGAGAATGAACGAAACTGCTTGAAACTTGTCAATTTAATGATTGAAGAGAAATTACTAAAAGTTTGAGCAAAAATGAGTTACAATGTCTCACCCGTCACTTTGTAATGCCCCCCATAAGTTTGTTTTGAGAAAATATTGTAGTTACCAAGCAACAACATAAATTAGCAGGTTATAAATTCACATTTTTTTTATTTGAAAAAATAACGCTTATTACAACCATCGAATATTCGATTTTAATGAGGTATTCGAATAATCGTATCTTTGCGACTATTCGAATAATCGAAGCGAATCAACTATTCGAATAGTAACATTCGATTAGCAATCGTACAAATAATTGCCGATCGAACGTTCGAATATTCGAATAATCGAAATATTCGAATAATTTCAAGAGCCCTAGTGCACACTCTAACTCCACGTATATTGAGTGTAAATAACGTGTAAATTAGTGGAAAGTGCATTATATATTGTAAAATAGTGCCATACAAGTTGGTTAAAATTACAAACTTTAACAAGAAATTGCTTAAAAACTATAAGGTTCCGCGCTTTGAAACTTTACATAGACAACTATTAGAACCCCCTCTACACCCCCTATTTTCCTTAATTCCATACTCCGGGGCTACCATTCTAAAATGTTCCCATTATTTTTGAGAGAAAACAGAAGACAATCATGACAAAAAATTCCGACAAAATATAAAAATAATTTAAAAAAAAATCGCGCGATTTTTTTTTAATTATTTATATATTTTGTCAGGATATTTTTTCGGGATTTCTTGTCTGGATTGTGTCTTGTCGGGATTATGTATGGTCGGGATTTAGTCGTGTCTGGAATATGTCTGATCGGGATATGGTCGAGTCTGGATTATGTCTTTCGGGATTTTGTATTTCGAGATTTTGTATGTTGGAATTTCATTACACACCCGAAAATCTCTAATACAAATTAAAAACTTTGGTTTCCATAGGTTTTATATGACCACTACCCCGAGGTTAGAACACTCAAGCCAGATCAAGAGCCAGATGTTTTGCGTCTGTTACACATGGGATGCAATAAGAAAATTTTACAGCAGGACATCCAAAAGAATTTGGGGAAGAATATTACTCTAAAAGACCTTTCCAACTTGAAAGCAAAACTAAAGGATAATAAAAAAAATCGTGACTTGACAGAAGCTGTAAAGTTTTTGATCGATGAAAAAGGTGAGCATGAAAGTAACTCATTGAGAGATATATTTAGTGAATTAAATAACTATCGTAAATGTGCTTAAGGTGCTGACGTATCGATTTTGAAAAACAACGATGAATTCCTGGGCTTGTATTTTTCCACAGAAGATATGCGACATTCTTATACTGCTTGGCCTGAAATTGTATTAATTGATGGCACGTATGGCCTACTCGACTGTAATTTAACTGTTATGGTCATGATCGTCGAAGACTCCAATTGTTCGTCTGAAATTGCGGCCGTCGGATTATTAGCAGTCGAGGACGAAGCTACTGTGGAATGGTTCATATCCACTTTTAAGGAGAATAATGGTTCTGTGTGCACCAAAACCCGTTGCTTTATGAGCGATAAGGACCACACAGGACGTAAAGTCATAAAAAAAATCTTCTATGACTCCGAGAAAGGTACAAGTCCACCGGTGTATATTTGTTTATTCCACACCTTGCAAACCTTTCGACGAAACATTACAAATATTTCAAAAGAAGAAATGGTGAAAATTTTAACATTTGTACAGAGACTAGCGTATAGTGAATCGAAAGAAGAGTACGATAAAGTATATAAAGAATTTAGGAAGGAGGTTCCAAGCGATGTACTTGATTATTACAATGACAACTGGCATGGCATTATAGAGGAATGGGTGGTGTTTAGTATGGTCGAAGGGAATTTAATGAATCGGACTAACAACAGAGTGGAATCAATAAATCAAAAATTGAAACAAGTAATTCAGAAACGAAGCAGCTTGTTGGAGTTTTTGCGATCATTTTTTGTATATTGTGATTCACATACTAATGAAATTGATTCAAAAGCCGCTAAGATGTTCATGAAATCTAAGGTTTATATCAAGAGAGGGAGTATCCTTGAGAAATATTCAAATTTTTTAACAGATGGGGCTTTTGAGCATATATCGGATGAAATAAAACGCCATGAATATGTGAACATCACACATGTGTGCGAAGATGGATGTTTGATAGAGAGGAGAGGCACAACTTTGCAAGTGACAAAAGACTTTTGCTCTTGTACAACTTCAGCGTCCTCCCTTCTCCCCTGCCGCCATTTGTTTGCGGTGAGAAAATCACTTGATTTGTCACTCTATGAAGAACGACTCTGTAATATGCGATGGACTAAAGAATATTACAAGCGGACGCAACGTATATTCCGCGTAAAGACAGCTGGTGAGATTGGAGAGCGTTTGCCTCTTATATGCGACATGGGATTTCCCAATGTAAGTACAATTACAGGATGCAAAAAATTGCTCAAGCCGATTACCGATAGCCTTGCATTCATTGTAAGTAATTCTTGTAGCTCCGATTTTGATGAAAAGATCACCATACTCCAAATAATTGAGAAGTCATGGAGAAAAAACTTCAAAGTTACCATAGCTCGAAAGTATAAAATCTCACCTGATACGGATCCCGATAAAAATGAAAATTTGCATAAAATATTTAGACAACTTGAAATTGTAGACACGCCGAAAGCTACCAAACCTCTTAGCGTTCCTCAAAAACGAAAATTAGTCAAGCCGCATCTGGAGCAGTTGATGCAGCTGGTATGTACGGCTTACGAACCAGATATTCCAAAGATGATAGATAATCTTCATAATTTGAAGAAATCATGGAGTCTGCAACATGGCATACGCATTGAAGTAGAAGAATATACTACTTCGAGCATGGAGGTGCCAGCACAATACGTACGTACGGTTTTTCTTCAGCATTTTTTCTCCAAATATATTCATTCTTATTGCAGGATAATAAATCAATTGATTTGAGAAGAGAGGATTTACCAGGACTTGGCAGCATGGTGAGCAGCATTAATTCCCCGATTCCAATAAAAATTAGAGGAACCCCCCGTTTAGGTTCCATTACAACTCCAGTGCGATCAAAAAAAAAGAAACTGGCGGTTCCATTTCTCGAAAGGGCTCAACTGCAACAAACACAAGAAATGCTAGGTTGGTTGATTGACAAAGACTTGGTGGGAAGTGTCCTCGACGCGGAGTATCTTATTAAAACTACCGACTTAAACCTGGAAATTAACATTTTAAGAGACTCTTTTCAAAACGTTAATGTCCAGTTATTATCAAAATACTGCGTGAAGAAGGCTTTTTTTGCACTTGAACAGGCAATATCAGAAAAGAAGCAGAAAGATATCAAAACTTGTCGTACTTGCGGACAAGTCAATACTAACGTGTTACTAGAGTGGATGTTATGTAGCTCTTGCTTGTTTTTTTTTCATTCCAAATGTGTTAAAAAATATAGAAAGAAAACCACGAAAGTATGGTTTTGCTCAGCATGCATAAAAAAAGGAGGGTAAAATTGATTTTGTGCGATTTTATTGTTAAATATTATTGAATAATAAACAGCAATAAGGTTTTTTTTTAAGAACTAACTTAGAAAAAATAAAATAAATACCAAAGTACAATTGGCTTAATTATTTTGGATGTTACTTATTTATTTTCACAGCGATAAATACTTATTCTAAAAGTACTTAGTTTCACCTAACGAAACACCGTGTACAGAAGGACTTTGAGACATTGGCTTCACTAACTACCGCGTACCAAGTTTTTATAGGCTTTCATAGTTTTCTTATTTTTGAAAATTACCCTTATATGGGCAGGGTCCTTAACC